ATAATTTAAAAAGCATGCAAATAGTTTTTTAAATATATTTGTACTACTATTTTAATGATGGTGATAGTAATTTCTTCAATATCCCAAAAAATTTGCATTCGCCAAATTTTAACAAACTACAAACATTTCGCACAAATGGAAAACGCTAACAGCACAAGCAGGCTAGGCATTATCCTATGAGTTTGAATAAGCTTAAAAACTTCTTACTTTTTGTGAATAATAAAATCTCTTCATATAGTGACCAAATACTCTTATAAGTTCATAATCAAAAAATGTAACACAATAATTAATAAGAATTCATACATTAATTTAAATACAATTTAGGTTAATTCGATATTTGGATTTTATCAAAACACTCGCAATGTTTTATATCATCCTGTTACTTAGATAATAAAATTACATATTTCATTCGCATGACTATTTTCTATTGACGCGTCATATTAATGTACATTTAAATACAAAAGTAAAATAATAAAATCGCAAAAATCACTTATCTTTAAAAAGTTCTAAAAAAAAGACAAAAGTTTCTTTTATGTTTCCAGCAGAAACTAAATGATTTTATAATAACAATATATTTTAACAAAAAGTTTTCATTCCTGATAATACTCAATATGCAGCCATAATTAAATTTTATTTCAAATACATATTACTCATTTAAAAATAGAAAATATCAAGATTTCAATGAATGGTACATATTTTTGGAATTTTACACTAAAATATTCCATTGTAGATAAAATAATTTTCATTTGCATATTTAAATAGCTAATGTAATTTTCCACAAATTAGTGTTAGTACTGGTGATAAATTATAGGGAGATATGTAAATATATATAATAGTACAACTAATAGTACACTTTTAATCAGTAATGTAATTAAAAAGATATTATTCTAATAAAGTTATTCACTTTAATAGGATTATATATTCATAGATAGTGTAGGAATGTGTAATGAATAAATTTTAAATGATATCGAAACCATTCTGTATAATAAATATTCTAGTTACTATTAGTAGTAATAAAATTATTCCATTCGCAAGCAGACATTCGCATAAAAATAAAATATTCGCAATTATAAAGTAGCAATGCAAAGTAAGCTATTTATTATGAAAACAAAATAGAGAAGAAATAAAGTTATGTTTAATTTTTTAACCAAATTTAGGATTTAAATTTGGAATTTAGATGAATGGACAGACGAATACAAAGCAGTAAGTGTTGTTGGTAAATATATTATTATTAATCACTTAATATTAACAAAATATTGTATATTTGATTTTTTAAACACAATTTTTTAACTGAAATATTTAACACATTCTTTTTGTTGTAACAAGTATTATGAAATCTGTGAAATGTTTCCAATTTAGGATATTAAAACTCTTCTTAAAATAAATTGGTATACTTTTCATATAACTGACATGAGTGGTTTAAATATGAAAATTCTAATTTTTGGTTTATGCTAAGATCAGGGTATGTGGCATATGGGCCTAAGACCTTATAACTACTTAAATGAAGCATATTTGTACTAATTTTTATTTTATATTATTTTTAATTTCAGTTCCAGAGAACAGACTACGTTCTGACAGATTTTGAAATGCATCTTTATGGAAGCAACCGAAGCAACCATTTTAGAAATACAGTTTCATATATAAACACAGCATATTATAAATTTTATGTTTAAGTAAATATTTTGTACTTGGTATGTATGATGTTGTAAAACATGTGGATTACAGTAAAAATGTTTTCATGTAAAAATGCGTGCTGTAGTTGGCGTAGTATATCATGAATCAGTGGTGGAAACAACTAAGAAACTAACAAAAACAATTAAACTCATTTGAGATATTTTTTTAATATATTAGTTAATATAATAATCGAATACAAATAAGAATCGATTTTATAGTCCATATTTATTATTGGTAGTAGTAGTTTATTTGCGGCTACCAATCATGAAACAAGTCTTAAACAAGGCCATATAAAAATATATACTGTAGACGAGAACTGACTGCTGTAGTCTTAAATTTAAATCACTCAAAATAGTTTCATAACTTAATATGAAAGATATATTGATACATTAATAATCCACTTATGAACATGAATACAATAGACAACCTTAAGGCTATGATTGCATAGGAGTCACAAGGCTGGCAAAGAGCCAGCGAAAAATCCTTTCCTCAACATAATAGAGGTAAAATTCGTATTTATATTAAATTATTGCATGAGTTACAATTTTAATGTCATATCTAATAGTTTTTTTGTTTCAAATTGACTGTAGCTGTTAGCACTAATAGCTTTGACAGCATCACCGGGAGTGAATACTCTTTGTTCCAGCAGTAAATTATATATAAAATATATATAATAGAATGTTCCAAAGTCCAAACAAGAAATGTTGATTTGGAAAATATTTTGCACAATTTAATTATCTAATTGAATTTATATTATTTCTAAGAAACAATATTTTGTGGAAACACAATTAATAGGATGCATTGAGGAACTGTGAATTATTTTCCTTATTTTTGAGGTATATTAAAATATATATATTAAGAGTCAGAAATACTTTGTAGTTTGTTTTTAGAAAAATTAAGGTGATTTTTGTGTCCAACAAAGACATTTCAGCAAAAATTTTTAAAGATTTTATTATGATGAATTTTTATATAAAATATATCACCGCAACTAACTGAACAATATTCAAAAATTATACTATTATAAAACATATTAGGAAATACTCACGATCTCCATTCTTCACCCTGCACATTGGCTCTTCAAACTGGGCATTCGTCAAACTTTTAAGTACTTTCAAGAAGTATGGCAGCAATTTGTCCTGATGCTGTAAATCACTCTGCAGGAAATATAGTCCGAGAGCTATACATGCTTCCTGACTGCGAGGAGTCACAGTAAAACTGGTACTGACTTGTGGACATAGCATAAATAATGTGTTCACCTGGAATTATTAGTTTTTTCAATTAAATATAGTAGAACAAAAGATAAATTCAATATCTAACACAGAAAATGGCATATGCTACTAATAAATATCATGAATCTAAGGAGTTTAGTGAGATCCAAACAGAACTATAGATGAATTACATTAATAGGGATAAAATTAAAATTAATTAATTAATCAATTATATTAAAATACTATTTAATTCATCTTTAATAAGTACATAAGAAATGAATGTTAAAATGATGACAATAAAAATTGTATAGGTCAAAATGGCAACAATTGAATGATGACTGATTGAGACAATTTAAGTACATGGCAGTGGAAAGACAATAAAAATCAGATAAAAATCTATTACTAACAAGCAAATAGAAATAGAAATAAATTACTAAACAAAAAACATGGAAATAATGACCACTAATAAGTTTACATTCATGATTTAGCTGATGTTAGAATAATACAAAATGATATTTAAGAACCTTGGTTAGAGAAACTAGCAAGAGGCTGACATCTCAGGGAATAAGAATATGTAATAATATAAATGCAATATATTTTTGTTACATTTTTGCTCAACCTTTGAAGTGTGATACATAAGAATATAAATAAATTACAAAATTTTATCAGAATAATAAATAAGTAGATTATTTATTTAATTTGAATATTGATAAATAATAAATAATAATAAATGTATATCAAAGTCATATGTTGTGTAGTAATTGTGTTTATATTGTTCTATAGCTCTATGTGATAACCTACTATAGTTTTCATTCCAAATAACAATAAACTATTATTTTATTGTTGCTATTTTTTCAGTTTTACAGATAGTTTTATTAAACTGATATTTATTTGCATATTGTAATACGAAAACTTAACCTTGAATATCAAAAAAATAATAATCAGCTTATGTCATTCAGTGATATCATGTTTAACTGTTGGCAAAATTTTATAAATTTTACATTGTAACTCGTGAAATATGGCTGCAACATTAATTAGCTTTCGAAGTGACGTAATTTACGATAATTTCATAAGGCCAAGCAATAATAAACAAGATTACATTGGATGTTTTGTAACCAACCTTTTCCCAGGGTGTAGGATCGATGCAAGAAAGACATCGTGCCAAATGTTGGACCGTTTGCTTGTAGAAGTCGTTTTCGTCCATTGTTAGCTTTTATTTTCTTTCAAAGTAATACATTTTTTAATTAATAATTAGAAAAGTATTCGACTCTCGATCACCATTCACTATTGTATCATTACTCATTGGAGTTCTCACTTTTGACAGCTCGCAATTAACATTTGACAGTTCGTCAATAAAGCGTTTTGTATATGTGTAATACAGATTAAATAATGTTTGATCTTTTAATAATATATTTATGTATAATTGAGATCCAGACTTAGTCATAATTCAAACTATCCTTTTTCAATTTATATATTTATTGATTTACTAGTTACTTTTAATTTTGGCAGTGGATCCAATTTGCAAGTATCAGGTCATGTTTTATGTTCATAGATCAATTACCTATTTATCAATTCTTAAACATCTTTAAATGAACTCCAAGCAAACTAGTGCGGGTTAAATGTTTCGGCTTTTTTATAATTAAAACCTAATGCCAGTCATACTTTATCTTCTAAATGTAGCTTAATATGTCCTACACAATTTATATACATACATGAATTTTATCTCTTATCCAACTTAGAAATTACTAGTATAGATTTCAGTAGTCATTTAAAGTTAATTATCATACAGCAACGACGAACTTTTGTAATAGGCATTTTGTTAAATTTATGGAATATTACTATAAAACTATAATAAATGGTGTCAATCAGGAGTATAATTCTTGTAAATAAAAAACGTACAATTTCTACTTTTATAAATTTATTAAAAATTTAGTTCATATTATTAAGTTAACAAGTGATTATAAAAACGTATTATTGTGAAGACAAAATTAAATTTTTCTAAATATTAAATGCAATAAATTGACAGCATTACAAACAACAACATTGAATAATAAAGACATTAACACATTAATATAATTGAACACATTTAATTGAACATATAATAATTATTTCGCATTGTCATATCTTTATGACTGTGTTGTAGTTGGATAAATTGACATCACCACTGAGTGTTTTCTTCTGTAGATTCTAAAACAAAAAACAAAGGAGGTTACAATATAATAAAAATGACTATCAAATTGAATTAAGAATGTGTTAAGAATCACCTTTTTAAATAAACTGGCCATTAATAAGTTAGTTTTTTTAATATTTTCCTTTTTCATCTCTTCTTTTTGCCGCATGACTTCGGGTAGAGACTTGTAAATTTTTTCAGAATGTTTTTTCATTTCACGTTCATTTATGAATTTTGGAGCCACTGTGAAAAAATAATAATTATAATATCATAAATAGCCAACAAATCTAACATTTTAATATAAATTTTAATAAGAGATTGTATGTAAAAACCTTTTTTCCTTCTAAGCTCATGGCCTAATTCTCTAGCCAGGTTTTGTAATTCTGCATTTGTGAGACTGTTTAGAGTCTGTTGCTTGTCCAGTTGCAATGACAGCAATTTCCGTTTGGTATTTCGTTCATTTGCTCTGAAAGTTATCAAAATCCAAGATAAATATATGGTGAACATAATGGAAAAAAAAAAAATCCAGTATAAGAAGAGGATGAAATTTTTGAACAGCCATCTTAACTCACCAATTCTTGTTACTTCATTTGGAATGCAATGCGTATTATGAGGTGGGATATAAGAACCACAATAATTATTTGGCATGCCTATAACAATTAAAATTAATCTCTAACTAAGGTTTACTGGTCTAAATAAGTTAAAATGGAAACATATACCTCCACAGTAAATATTACAAGGGTCCAAACAAGTATTGCCAGCACAATTAGGAGTATGAATTACTATCATTTTCATTTGAGGACATTCGCAGTCTTTTGGTCTGAAGTAAAAAAATTGGTGAGTTAAATACTGAACTAGGACTATTTAAGGTCAATCTTTATCAAAGTTAGTTATAAGAATACAAAGGTATATTATAATATTTTCAATAAACCTCTATGAATATCTTACCGCGATTCATTAATCAATTTCAAGCAATGTTGTCGTTTTGAACTCTTCTCAACAAAGTCTGGTCGATTTTGTTCCAAGTATTCTCTAACGGTCAACTCACGAGCCCTTTTTAAAAATTCATCAGTACTTGATATTTCACTCTCATTTGGACAACTCTTCGATCGATAGTTCTTACCACAGCGAGGACTACAGTTTCTCATCTTTTTTTCAATCTTTCTAGACATTTCCTTAAAAGGTATATCTTCTTCTTTTCGTTTTGAAGGTACTTTTACTATAATATTCTGTAACTGTCGCTCTTTGTATCCGCAGGTAACTTCCTCGCTGATCATGCTGTCAGATGTTTGTATGATCAAGTTGTAAGCTATACAATTCCTTTTTGTCTTCTCAACAGGAGTTTTGGTTTTGTGATTTTTACACTTGTGCTGCCGACAAGAACAGTGATGAACCTTTCTGCATTGATTACAGTTTACCGAAGTACTGCTTGATGCGTCACATTTTTTCACACCGTTGTAAGATTTGCATCGTTTTTGATGGTATTTCTCACACTCTCTTTTGATTTTATTTAACACTTTGCAAGTAGCCGAGTCGGATGAAGTGCTAGGTAGATCACTCGAGAGCGGCAGATCAGATGATTCAGTACACTGTTTAGTTTTAGATTTTTTTGCTGATAATTGAACACTTTTGTCTACAAAAGTCTTGCTTGGAACGGATCCACAGCATTCACTATTAGTCTTTTTTTTCTCATGACCTTCATTTTCATCACCAGTACAACAAGAAGCTTTATATATATCTTGATCCGTACTCTCTTCTGTATCGAGAAAATAGTTGAGAACTGTGATGATTTCCTTAAAGCATTTGTTTCTTTTACCTTTTTCATAATCTTTCTTTGAATATCGCTTTGTTATGTCTTGAATCATTTCTATCAATGGATCCCTGGATATGCATTTGTTTATATTGTCATCAGACTCACTTGTGCATGGTTTTAATTGAGATAGTTCATCTAAATCAGAACTACATTTGCTTTTAGAACTCACATCAATGGATTTCAAAGATTTGTCGGAACAGCAGGAATCATACTTTTCTTGGCATTTTTCGTTACAAACACCTTTTGGCGGTTGCTTCTTAGTTAAAATTTCTGGGTCTGGTTGTACCCCGTCATCTTTGGTGGCTTTTTTGTTAAATGTCACGCGACAACATTTTTCCATTTTCCCCGTATCAGTATTTGAACGGAGAAGAGGTTTCTGTACGTTGCTTCGGCCGTTTTTCGGGAATGTATTGCATTTATTATCAGTAAAAACAATTTTTTCACAAGTAGGTTTTGTAGTGAGTTTACAATGAGCTTTATTATTTAGTTCAGAGTCTACGATATCTGCTGGGGTTTTGTCTTGACACCTACTGGATTGAACACATGAAGATTCAGGTTTTTTATAAAAGTTTTTAAATATATTGGTATCATTGCATTGTACGGCTTTCGAACAGTCTTCCCTTAATGATGTGAAATTTTCAACAACGTCATTCTTTACCGTTTCAGTCCCCTTTGAAGAGGACTCTACCTCAGACTTTTTCGACAGGTTTCTGTCGAAATCCTTGTTTATTCCTTTGTTTTCAGAGCCTAAACACACTTTAAGCATCATGTTCGTGCCTTGAATAGGTATAGTATAATTATTTTCACCTTGTCTATCGTTAGCTTTAGTTATAGGAGTGTTTGGTAAATCTGGACTCGATTGTATTTCTTTATCGAATTTTTCAACAGTGTTTGTCGAAGTCTCTTTAGTATTTGCAGAAACCTTCTTTACAGGTTCTCTTTCTTCCATTCGTAAGGGTCCTTCCGAACATTTATTGACCTGATTGCAAGAAGAATTTTTCGTAATTTCTTTAAATCTCTCGCTAATCAACTGAACGCAACATTCGTCATTAACGATATTAATATCAGATATTGATGGATCAGACATCTTTGGATCTATGCTGATTTCGGTCTGAACAACTCTTGTAGCTTCATGAACAAATATACTAGGTTTTTTGCCACAAAGTGAAAACTTGCCATTTCTATCTTCAGAAGTCGATGATTGTGTTGATTGTTCACTTGTTCGATTTCGTAACGCAAGCCGTAAATCGAGATCAGTTTGTGATGATTTTGTTTGAATATTACAACAATTACTATCCTTTATAACCAAACATTTCCTCTCACAATCTTGACTTCCGAATGTAGATATTTTCCGAGGCGATGTCGAATTGCTAGAAGGGGTACTAACTGCAGTAGATGCTTTTAAAACTGTATCCATTTTTAATCCTTTATTATTCAGACGCGAACACTTGTAAATTAATATATTTTCGGGCATTTCATTTTTTGAGACTGTGTCCTCTGTGCACAAACACACGTATTTTATTTCTTCCCTGTCTTCGGGTACGCATTTAGGTAATTTATGAGTTTTGTAAATAGTATTACATTTTTCACATTTATGGGGACCTGATTGATGGACCGGCGCACATGACGTGGAACAGGTTTGTGATCTAACAGGAGAATTATCCTTACAACAGTTTAAATTAACCTGAACTGAACTATCTACGACACCAATTTTTGGATGTACTTTGTGATAAGGACAGCAGCAATAGTGGTTATCTGTTTTAGCCAAATTTGTTTTTAAGGCATCAGCTTCTTGGGTGCATTTAGTTAATTTTGTTTGTTTGTAATGATTGTCTGAAGTACCAGAAGAAAGTGTGAAAACAGAATGACTTCTTTGCCGTCTAGCACTATTGTATCTTTCGATATTAAGGTTAGAACCTGAACCACCTTCCAATCTACTTGCATCTCCAGATCCATCATCATAGTTATTTCTTATCAAGTCTTTCATGAGATCCTTTATTCTGTTTTGTGTTTTAGTTTCAGCATGTCTTACAGCATCAAAAGCAATATCAGAACTTGCTAACTTCTGTTTTAGAAATATTTCCTTATCTTTAAGATGTCTTTTGTAAGCTTGTTCTCTCTGTAAAGCTTCAAGATATTTTTGGTATAATTGTTCTGAAGATATTTTATCAATACCAGTGTCAGAAGTGATCTTATTTTTATTTGAAATATCTGAATCGGTATGAGATAGTTGTATTCGTCCAATCTTAGGTGCAATAGGTTTCTCTTGATTGATAACTGTATGTAGATTAGGAACACTTTGGGAAGTGGAAGCTACAGGTCCTGAATTGAATTTATCAATACGTAAAATGGACTTCTTGGGTTTCAGTAATTTACCTCTTTTCATAGTATCATTCTCAGATGTGCTTGTTGTAGTGTGTTGATTATACAAATCTAATTTTTTGCTTTCAAAAGTAAGTCCTGACAGAAATTCAGTGGAAGTTTCATCATCTCTGTATTTAGATTTAATCAATTTTTCAACAACATCTCTGATTAGTTTCTTCTTTAAATTAGGGTCGTCACATTTATAATCCAATGTGTTCTTAAGCATGTCTATTCCCTTTTCTAAGTCTTTGGTAAATGAATACTTTGATGTTTTGCTTGAATCTGTAGTCAAACCGGCACTCGATTCTAAGCTAGATTTGTTCCCGGATGGATTTACTGCATCCTTGTCAATTTGTAACTGATTCTGATTATAAATATGTCCTGGCATATATTCAAAACTCTCTGCATCAGAAACTTGTTCAGTATGTTTTTCTGGAATGTTTTCTTTGTCAATGACACTTTGTTTTCTACTATTCTGTCTTCTTATTTTCCTTACTTTTTTCCTCCTAACTCTTTTCTTTAAAGTATTTACACTGATTAACACTGGAATCTTTTTAACAGATTCACTTTGTTCAGGCTGTACAGTGCGGTCTTTAGTTTTGACCAAAGTGGTTTGGATTTCTTTATCCATTTTGACCTGTGGTGTTATTGCAGTTTCAACAGAAACTTTTTCAGGGCTCAAACTAACGCTTTTTGACATATTCTCAACGGACACACCACCATCTTTCTCAACATTAAACAATATATGTTTCGTCAAGTTAACATTTATAGGCTTCATATATTCAGAAATTTGTGGTACATTCAGTTCAAATAAATCAATGTCCTTTTTATATATCTTTGTAGTTTTTTTTGAATCGGTCTTCTTACTTTTCATTTTAACATCATTAACATCAACTGGGGTCGATTGCGCAGTTGGTGGCCCCAGGTCTGAATTGTGTTTTGTTTCATTAGAGTATTGTTGTTGCAAAGCCATTCTCTCGAGAGTACTTAGACTGGAAGCTGAATTCTTTCTATCACTTTCATTAGCGTAGCCAACATCAGCTAAGGAGTCCCATTCAAGCTTGCGCTGCGATGTTATACTACTTGTCGGTGAAATGGGTTTATTCATAGAGGTATCAAGGGTGCAATCATGGGCTGGAAATAAAATAATACATATAATTAATTTAAGAGCATACAAAGAGATTTTAACCACATTTATTGCTAAATCTAGCCAAATAATTAGATCCATATTTAATGCATGATGTCTGAACATACAAAATGGTCTCTCAAACAAACAATATCCTTATAAAACTGGTGATTATGATATGATGATGATAATGATGAAACATGACTACATTATATATACAACATAAATTAGGATATAATCTTAATGAAAACATACATTTCTGAGACTGAGCATCATTTGATTTATCAGACTCATTGTCAGAACTCTGACACTGTTGTGTCGCTGCTTCTTCACTTATTATGGGAGGGGAAACTGAATCAATCTTTGTCCTTGGATTTTCTTCCTACAACAAAAATTACATTACACTTAACAAAACAACCATTGTTAGCTTTAGGAAACAACAGAAATTCAAACATATATTATAGATATTCAGAACAGTGATTTTAATACTTTAAAGAAATATTGTGTACAAATAATGTGTAATAATAAATGTAAATAAATAAGTGACTAGTAAATATGTACATAGTTATAATAAAAATTTAGATGGTAATAAAACTTATAATTTTTCTAATTTACTATGTGTTTATAATTATTTTGAACAACATACCCCCAATGATACATAACATACACTAATGAAACATATTTCCAAGATTAGAATGAATCATTCTCATCTTTGTCTAACTGTTATCATGGTATAATGGTTACTACAAAGTAACCGAAACATTGGTCTACTTATAGAAATAATTATAAATACATAATAAATCTGAAAAATATTAGCTTCATTTCAATGAATACTCATGAAAGTCTTAGATCCCATAATGTAGATAGTAATAGGAAACATGAACATCTAAATAGTAAATGGACAGAAATTGAGTCCGAGCTTTTTTAAATACCCTTAAATCAATTTTATTATTGTATTCATAGGATTACATAGTAATAGTTTCCAAAATTCAAGTACTCATACTAAAAATAATAATATTCTTGTGGTCTTCGCGATCCACATTTAACTCATTTTGTAGCAGTCTAAATGAGGCCACACACACAAATATTCCAAGACATTTGATTATACATATTTAAGTCTGAATATATTTTAGAAATATGACTTTAATATAGAAAAATTACAATACTTTCAGAATTAGACGAACTAAAATTTCAAGCAAATAAATAACAGTAGTAACTGAGATTGCAACTGGATTGTGTTCTATTCGACTTAATAGAGCATTATATGTCTGTTACCTTTGAAGAACTAGGTTCAGGAATTGAACACTTGACAGTAATCCTACATAGTTCCGTAGAAGATTCACTTTTCTTATTATCTCCCGAGTCAGAAGAATCATACTGTGACTTCATTCTTCTCCAGAATATACTAGAAGGGTCTTTTATATCACTCTGTGTTGTTGATAAGGAAAAAAATTGTTCTAAGTCCCTTTTTCTACCAAACTTTTTGTAATATTCCAAAATTGAACTATTTATCGCAGAATATGAATCTTCAATGTTGTAATCAAATCTACTTTTTGTATCCGTCTCATCTGTTTCCATTTCTATACTTTATATTAAGAAATAGTAATTCTCTTCGATAATTTAGACATTACGAGTTAAATTACAAGTTAAAACAAATATAAATTTTAAAAATTCAACTGATATTCTTTCCGTTTTATTTTGATACTAAATAACGACATTTTTATTTACGTAGGCTATGCTCATTTCACGTTCCGTGACCTATAAACAAGGTTTCATTAGATATCTTTTTTAAGAAATTATATCTTATATTCCTTATTACAAAATTGTTTTCTTTTACTATTATTTTGTTAATATTCCAAAATTTTAAATAAAAATTGGTTTATATTATTAGGGCCAACAAGCTGGATTCACACAGCGTCTATATTTTAGAACGATCTGCATAATAACACCACTGTCAATGTCAAAAGATGGAAAGGGTTGATATAGTGACGTTTTCAAATTAAAATAAAAATTTGCTTTTTTCTGTGTTGGAAAATTAACTATTTTGCTAGACTTAAACTTTAATAAAAAAAAATAATCCTAAAATGTCTCGTCAAACTTCAAGACTCGATGCGAAGAAAGTGGTAATTATAATGTGATAAATGGTCTAAAAATGTAATGAATGCATTAATTAATCGTAAATTGATTTTTGTTTTGTAGAATTCTGAATTATTAACACTTACGTATGGAGCATTGGTGTCACAAATGTTGAAAGAGATAGATAATCCTGAGGATGTCAACAAACAATTGGAGCGCATAGGTTACAATATGGGCGTACGACTTATCGAGGATTTTCTAGCACGGACACCTTCAACACGATGTCTCGAAATGAGGGAGACTGCTGATAAGATACAACAAGCTTTCAGGTTTAAAACTAAACACTACATACAATTTTTACAAATAGTCTTTTTATTCATAACACTAACTGAATAAAACTGAGTTGCCTTTACTGTATACTTAATATTACAGATTATATTTAAACATGCAGCCAGTTGTAACAAGTTGGAGTAGTGCCGGTGATGAATTTTCATTAGTATGGGACCAGTGTCCGTTAAGTGAGTGGGTTGAAATGCCCAACAATGGGCTTAAGTACTGCGCTTTGATACCCGGAGCTATTAGAGGTGCTTTACAGATGGTGCAGCTAGATGTGCAGTGCTGGTTTGTGCAGGTAAGGAAGGTACCACAAATAAATATGTTGAAAATGATAAGTTTCTTACAACACTTGAAATACTTCAAATTTGTAAGAGAAAATGTTTTTGGCGACTGAATGATAATAATTGGTACAAAACTCTCCTGTAATATTATGTATAAGTATTAGGGTGGTGTAATACAACCTCACAAGACTCAAACTAGATTATGGTGTAAGTTTCACATTACTTCACATAAAAAAATTATACAGCAAGAATTGATTAAAAATTTTTATATTAGTTTTTGGGTTAATATTAAAGTTTTTATAACAAATGTATTTTTATTTCAGGACTTACTTAAAGGTGATCCTATCACTGAGCTGAGAGTGAAGTATATAAAGAGATTAGAAGACGCAGTGCCCGCCGGAGAAGATTAAGTGAATTACTAGTTTCATTCCATATTTACTTTGTAAGTTATGTTGTATAATTTGTCTCATCAGGTATTATGTTCATGTGTAGTACACATAGCTACCCTTGAGTTACATTTGTGTATTGAGAAATAAATTATATAAATGGTATCTCTGCTTATTTATTTTTCACTTAATAAGTGATCATCTTTTTTGTTTGTTTCGCGATTTCTCTGTTGTAGTATATGGTATGAGATCTAATATTAAGATTCACATCTTGTTCACCTGTGGTCATGGTTACTGAAAAGTAGCAGAAATGTAGTTTTTTATAATAATAAAGCACATGTAGTATATCAGAAAAATATTAGTATCATTTAAATAGTATATGGTATGTTTTTTAATGTTATGGTTTCATTCACTGGAAATATATTTTGCCAATTTACACTTTTTTACTTGTTGGATGAATAATAATCTTGAGTACTGTGTGGAGAAAAGATAAAGGAGTTTGTCGAATGGAATAAAGGCATTCACTTGATTGTTTTTTTTTTAAGAAGACAAGTTATATTTTTACCAACACCTGGAACAACAAAAAATATATAAAAAGTAATACAAATATCTTAGTTGAAATAGTCTGTTTACAATCTATATAATTTTAATGCATTTATTATTATTTAAACTTTAAATACTATTCTTATAGTTGGTAATGGCATAGTTGTGGCAATACATTTAATTAAAATAATTTTAAAAAAGATGATATTTATGAAGAGCACTGGAAAATATTTAAATAGATATTTTGTCCAAATGTAGATTTGAAGTGGGAATATGATCTTATTTTAACCTTTTCTTCTAAGTTTAATTGTTACTAAAAAATAAGACACACAATCACAAATAAATATCTGAATCAACAATAGGTGTCTTATATTAAGTAATACTAGTTGCAATAAGTGGTTTTACAGAACAAAAACTTAGAGAGTTTAGATTAAAATAAAGTTTTAACTATGGACTAGCATTGGGGACCTTAAATATTATCATATGTATATAAATTTACAATTTAAAATTTTCAATTGCTGCGACTTTCTTATAAGTATACTTAAAATATCATATTATAAAGATATCTCGGGAAACGCCAATACAATAAAGTAGTTATTTATTTAGAGAGGAATCACAAATGAGACTACAGCTATCGATATTGAAGCGGCGATCAAATGATTTAAATATAAATAAGTAGATTTTTTTATTAAAAACTGTGTCCAAGAGAAAGAAGTATGGAAGTTTTTCCAAAGAAACAAATGAATTAATGTTGTTTAATTATAAAAAGGAAACCCCATTATTGCAAATAGTATTAAAGAAAGCAGTTATTCTTGTGATTTAAGTAGACATAGTAAAGTCAAAGTACAATTTTGATAAAAAGACGAACTGAGTAGGTCCAAGTCATTTGTATAAAAATTTTAGAAAATAGATAATCATTTCCTCATATCAGTTGGATTTTGTTTTTTCTAAAGACTATATTATTGCCATTAAAAAAAAAGAATAGTATTGATGAAAAATCAAAAATAAACATCTCGTTTTATACGTACAAAAGATGGAAGTAATAATTATTTTAAAAACAGAGTCTATCGTCGTTTAAAATCACTCGCAACTCTATTCTAACTTCTAACACGTTTTATTGCAGAACTTTAATTTTGGCATGTCATTGATGGTTTGTCTAGTTGATTCATGATTGATTGTGTCTTTGAAATGACTGTTAGACTGTATTGTGTATTTCGATGTTAGGCAATAACAATTTCTGTGTTAAATTAATATGATTGTAGTACCTGCTTCGAGTCTCACTTGGACTGTTTGCAAATAATAAAATAAGCACCTCTACAATAGACAAGACTGAAGAGTAGTCCATAGTCTATAGACATCGATCAAGTATCGACAATTGTGTATCAATAACCTGTTCAATTAGTATTCAAGAGCGTCCTGAATAGAAAACAATAGCAAAATCCACAATCGAATCACTCGTTTTATAGTTTTTTTTATCGATAAGTTATTTTAAAATATTGTATCATGATCCCGTCCTCAGTTCACTTGAATCTTTGTTTGTGAAGTGATGTACTTCTAACGATAAAAGGTATCCTATAATTGGATTACAGATTTACGAATTCCCGGATAAAATTTTATAAGTATTATTTTATAAAATATTGATTCCATATAAATTAAAACAAAAATTTTAAAACGAAGATAGTAATTATTCTATATCAGTATAAAAGTCTTCTAAATATTGTATACATACACAGATGCAAGCAGACAATGACTTCGTTAGCTGGGGCACTCTCCTCACGAAGTGTCACTTCACAACTGCATTTCCCGCCCTAACACGAAATTGGATCTTATTGCATGGGAATAAAATTTTAAACTACTCGCCATCCAAGAATTATCCCTAAGATAAGGGCGGCTCTAACGCTATAAGAAATATATACAAGTGTATATAGCAATTTTCTCCTGTAGTTTTGAGTTAGCTCAACCTACTTGACTAAAAGCTTTCTGAAGTATATTTTTTTCTCTATAAAGGCTGGTATCTACATCATTTAAAGCAGTGTTGTTCACTTATAAAATATAAACCGAGCTCCATGCAAATTATAAATACTTATGTTTTTTAAATAATTTGGCTTATTTAAAAAACTTAACGAGTATGTATATTAAAAAATGTGACTACGTTTTTCAAACAAGCCTACCTTATATCTTCTTCTATATAATGCATTATAATATGTATAATAACTAAAAATAACTCGTATTTTTAATGCAGGTATATCTTGCTATAAACAAATTAATATTCGGAATTTCTATAGGTAATGCTTAGAATTCTATAACATCTTTTAATAAAGGAACAATTGTATAGAAATGGTACCCGATGTGCTTTGAAGGAAAGAATTCTTACACTTTTTGTTCATATCTTGGGTAGGAGTGATGCCATTGTCATTATGTTCATCCATAATTTCTTCATAAACTTCTCTATACTAATACTTACTTTAAAAACTATATACTTACCTTATAACTCATTCAAATCTGAACCGATTTAAATAATTATTTTACAATACAGTTTAGGTGTTGAGGATAAAAAGGCACTTTTATTAAGACAATATTTATTTTTTCTATTTAATTACTTGTCTTAATTTATTTTTATTTATTATAAAGAGTACTTAATATAATAATTTTGTTAAACACTGTTGTTATACGATAACAACGAAGTGAAGTCGAATTACGTACATTAAACGGCTTTATCACAAATCATTTTATAAAACAGTTAACACGTTCATGTACACAAATATCTTGTTTACTGAGGATGTAATATAATGTAAAAACATTCAACATAAATTGATAATTATTTAAACAAATACATCGTAATTGTTTCGTATTTAAAACATGTTTTTTTTATAATATTAACTACCAAGTTAGATTAAAGGATTTTTTAATTAATAATACCAGGAAATTGACTACATATTAATATTTTGAACAGTTGAAATTACTTATAAATGTATCCCATCGCTCTGTCAACTGATTAATAGCAACCGCTTTCATAGTTTCATTAAGGGCACTATACTTAAGGGAGTTAAAAGCAAGTTGCTTAATGAGTCTTAGGTCTGAAAGTCGGCTAGCTACACCCACGAAAGCAACGTAGAAATCATCAGATAAAGGATCAGCTTCCCATATACCGGGATCATCACTTGAAAGTACAACAGGCAGGCCCTGAGCTAGGAACGCGCTCAAAGGATGATTGCGTACATCGTGTACCAATGATAGAACATTATTTGATATGACGTTCACTTCTATACCGATTCCGTTATCTTTAACAGCTTTCATTAATAACGGATGTTTGATAATACCGTACGCGTGACCTAACCTTTTAGCTCCCAATAAGATAGCGTCTATGAGATTTTCATCCGTCAGTGTTCCGTACCAATTAGTTTCGCCGGCGTGAAAGAAGTAGTTCAGTTCCTTAGAGGCAGATAATAATTGGGGTATGAACTCTATCAATGGACTACCCAAGTCCTCCTGACCGACCAGATCGAATCCCGCAAACAAATCTGGCATGTCAGCCTTCAAAGTTCTGGCTAGATTTAAATATTTATCCAATTGAATCCTCTCAATTTTTCTAGATGGTGCGTAAATAAGTTTCGCTCCGAAAAAATCTGGGTAGTCTTTCTTGAATCTCTTTATTACCTTGTTGTATGTCTTCGCTGTTATCATCGGTGAATAAACTGTCCCGTCCAAATCGTACAAACTTGGTAAAATACTTCTCAGTTCAATATACATAACATTATCCAATCTAAACTTAAGGAGCACGTCATAAAAATATTGCTCCCACACTGGCCTGTATGTCAGTATTTGAATGACTGTACTAAAGTATTTCATAAAGGTTCCCCATGATTCTTTGATGGTCGGATACCTTATGTCAGGGTTGCTGACACGCATAGTGAAATATAGCCTTAAATGTGCATCGAATGTGGTCGTATCATTGAAGTTGTCTCGAACATCCTTAAGTAACTGCCACCTGCCATCACATAACGTTTGTGGCCTTTTAAGGGAAAATTTAAATTGTATGTCGCGTAGACCAAAACAGATATAGAGGTGATCCATATACGTCAGGCGCATGATGTAATCGGGTCCCAAAATTCCCATATCGTGTATATGAAGCGCCGCTCCCTTCGGTATGTCCTTAATGATCTGGTAAACTTTAGATTTATTTATATTATTATTGTACAAGAAGAAATGATGTGAGAAGTTGAATGCTTGCGGATTGTTATAACCGTAGTCTACTTCACGGAACTTGTGTTGCATTAGACAGTTGTTGACGGCTAGCTCTTTATCTGTGAGCTGAGTGTCTCCCCCTAGAGATAAGAGGGCCTCATCTCTGAGGATCTGGGCTCGTTTCGCATTGTAATCGTCGATTGTTGCATAGCAGACGTGTAGGAATATATAGAGATATAAGAAACGCATTTCAAATGAGGGGAGATCCCTAGCGCGACGTGTTCAGAGTACACGCTCCGATCACAGACTGTCATGAATCCGTTGTCATTGTTATCGTATTGGGTGGATGACCGTGGTCATTGACTATATATGGTTGGCATAAAGGCAATTGTAACATCCTGTAAATTATTGATAATAACAGCTTTGTTATTACTTGATAGCCGGCTCAAGATGCGACTTGTTATTGTTACAGGATAAATTATGTATAAACATATTCATATCTTTTATTATGTATTGTAAGAGATATAATTAAGTGTTATGTAACTTGTATGTTTAAATAAAATAATGATACTTTTTATTAGACTCATAGTTCTGTATATTTTATAAATTATAAAAAATTAACAAGTCAAACAACAAATTGTAATTTCTTTACAAGGCTCGTATTTTTACAATCTAAGAAGAAATTACGCTTCGTTAATTTTGTAGCACTAGTTAACTACCTCAACTCGAGTAAAACGTCAAAAATAGCAACCAACGAAGTACCAACATAATAAGCGAAAAAAAAAAGTTTGTAAAGGACCGAAACGATCTCGTACAACCCGCAATTTCTATAGACTTTTAAACGATAAAATTTACTAAAACTCATTTCGTACTGGTGTAAATTACAGCTAGCGGCGTCTAAAAGGGTTCGTTTTCAAAGCTTAACTCTAAAGAAACTAAAAAATAAATCTGAAAAGAAATAAAGGCCGCCTCATCCGCCATGCTGATTTTATGCAACGAAAGGGTTGGGGTAGGTTTAAGTGCCACTTTGGTATGGAACCGCCCCGTGAAACGCATTTGTTGGCAAAAAAAGAATAAAATATGGCCGTCACACAACATGCATGATATTGAGATGTTTCGTAAAACTCGTCACCTTTTTTTTAATCTCCTAATTACAACCCAGGTAGCACTACTCCTCGCGACACTCACAGATATCAGGACAAACAATGGGTAGAACATGCACGGAGGGGAGCTGTAAGTTCACAAAATATTTTGGTAATCATTGAAACGTGTTTTTGACTCTTATACCTAACAATGCAGCTAAGTAATATCGTACAGGTGTTGTCATTCCCACTTGATATAAGAATAATAATTGCGAAAATATTTTTAATTGCACGGATTTATAGATTTTTGATACAGTTAGACACAAAATGAACTAAAGCGATTTATTGGGCAACTAGTTCGTATGTCAAATAGACCATAATTTATAGGTTTCCATAGTTTGATTAGGCTATGAAATCGGATTGTGACACCACATCTGCGGTGGGCAGTTGGTAACTAATAAATGTGTACTATTTAGGTATATGCCATGGTTTTATTTCAAAGTTGACGTTTTATAGACTATATCAATTAAAATACCACCTTTATACTGTTATGTGATATTTATGGATGCATAAAAATGTCTTTTTTTATATGAATATTCATTATCACTTGAGCATCGTTGCTTATTTACTGACATGTGCTCTCTAGAATACTAATAAAGCAAAACAAAACTCAGTCTAAAAATATGTAATGCATGTTTTCAATTGCATATGTATTGAGTGACGCTTATGTCATAAACAAAACATTTAGTGTATAAATATCGATTGTTTAGGAAATAAGTGTTTTTATACTGTGACATAAGAACTAATTATTGATATTAATAAGTGTAGGAAGTACTATGTTTGATGCAATTAGTCTTTTACTTTAGGATTTCATTATCCAAGTAGGAATAAACTAACAAGTTGTTAAAAGGCGGTCATGTTTGATATAAGTCGACGGTAGTTATTTCATGACGTCTTAGGAGTGTTGGTGGCCGGGCCATTGTCTCGTGATTTTTATGTGACATTTCTAGAAATCTCTTAACGGAATTCTGTTTAATCTGATCATAGAAAATGAACCTTAACTCTACCCGTTACGGTATATATTACAATGAACATATAAATTAAGCTTAAGTACAAAATTTTCTGAACAGAATTTATCGAAGCAATTGTTTGAGATCAATGGCAATGGTTTAAAAATATATATTTATGAGAATTGTGGATTTATTTTTAATAAATTCTGTAATGAAACTTTAAAACTTCAACTTCAAATTTTAGCTTTCAGTACCTATTCAATAAAAAATTTCGATTCTATGTCAAATATGATTGTTATGTAGTAATTGCCATCCGGCGATAAGGTCTGTTTTTGTATCTATTTATTATTTTTTCGACTCTAAAAAACAATGCATTTGGATGTAAACAATGAACGATACCGAGGCCTTTTGTATTATTTGCAAAAAAAAAATAACAAATTCGTCATATAATATTCGACTGTAGCAACATAAAATATTCATTAATACAATTCAATGTACGGCTACAGTTAGTGTAGTGTATAGAGTTTTTATTATCTAAATATACTCGTAATATTTTCGGCCTGCGATGCAGGATTGCTTTATGGATGATTTAAGTTAATTTTAACATCTAATTAGCGGTTATCGGTACATTGAATCTGTTCGCCTCCGACGCTACCAAGTGACACATGATTTTAATTTACGGTGACGATGCGGCGCCTAGATAAATTGCCAGAGCTAATTCTGACGCTCTCTTTGATGTGTTTTTTATATTATTACCGGTTTTTATAAACATATTTATGAAAACCGGTAATTAAATGCATCATTACTTCTATTATAAACATGAATTTAGAAAATTAAAATATGTACGTCATAAGGTAAAAAAGGTTGTTATAATATATATAAATTCAAATATAAGATAGAAAAACAGCAAATTTACAAGCATTCTAAATTCTATTATTCTTATTGTTATTCGTTGTGACAAAAAAATATATTATCATCATATATGAATATTATATGAAGTTAATAAGCTATTGAATGTTAAGAAAAAGTTTAATATCTCTCTATATACGTGAGCATTAATTAATCCCTTTTTTTAAAATATGATAAACCTCTTACATCATGTAAATTATGCAATGATTCTACTAATATTATAAATGCTAAAGTAACTCTGTCTGTCTGTCTGTTACGCTTTCACGAATAAACAAATGAACTGGTTTTAATGAAATTTGGTACAGAGATAGAGTTGACCTTGAGAAAGACTTTTTGATTGATTTTTAAATGATCCAAAACCTTATAGTAAGCAGCATTAGTATGTAAAAGATTTAAGATCTGTACTAAATAACGGTAATGGAAATCGAAATATTATACCTATCAAAAAAAACCTTATTGTTCAATTTTAACAATATAATTGATTTGTTTAGACAAAAAGTTGTGTTTATGTCTTAATTCCTACTTATAGAAAAAAATATGGCTTAGACCTGTGAAAAGGCATGAACGATTGTTATATTGAAAAGACAAATATTAGGTAATAGGTAGTCTATTTTGGGTTAGCTGAACGGCTCAAATTATTTCTGATATATGTATTTAATTAGCAGAAATAATAACAATAGGTGTATATTAAACAGTTTTTGCTATTATATAACATAGCAATATATAATGATGAGGTTGTAAGTGAATGTTGATTATTATAAAACAGAGAACTTGGGCATAAAAATCTTTAATCCTAGAGCTCAGAAAAGATCAGGTATAAAAATTAAAAAGACGTAGTATTGGACTAAACGGATGAAATAGAATGAGATTTTTTTTAATAAACGTCGAATAATAAATATATATTATATAATTTCATACCTGAAACTTTTCCCGTGATTCAGATTGTATTTGTTTTTACAAAGGACAAACTAGAATCTATTCACAAAGGCTTTTCACAAATCTATCTATCTATTCATAAATTCGCTTCCAAGATTGTTATACAAATGACAAAGATAATAAAAAGAAAAAATCTTTCGTCTTCCTCAGTAATATAATTATTTGTCATTTCAACCTTCATTTGATAAGAAATTATAATCAATAGTACAACTATCACCATGTCTAATATATTTGCATTGACCAAACAAAAATAGTCTCAAGGTCAAGAACCAAGAATTAATAACTTTAAAAAATATGGAATAATACTACTATGTAGATAACATTTTAATATTCACAGTAAACTCTATATACTGATATCCTATGCATCTATTCGTTGTTTGTATAAAACTACTGCTATACTAAAATGTTATCAAAACAAATTACCTGAAAATACTTCGCTTAGTTAAAGAGAAGTATTAAAAAAAATCATACTTAACGTGCGAGTTATAGAATAATGATTAAAAATTCCTTAATATGAACATACAAATCATTACAATAATGAAATTTAAATATGTATCTATATAAATAAGTTTATTAGTTCGTGTGTCTGTAGCATAAAATATTGTTTCTTTGTCTGATTCATTATTCGTCATTGACAAACATTAAATAATGCAAATATGTAAATATAATTTTTATAGATGATTGCATATTTTATTCAATGAAGCCGTTAGAACGATTACTTCTACGGTTACCTGTGAAATATTAATATTGGTTTTGGATTCTATGTATGAAGAATTTCAATTGACAGATTCATATAAATTACAAATAAAATAATTACGTAACAAAACAAAAGATAAATACGTAATAATTTTGTTCCATTAATGTAAATAGTGGTTCTTGCAATGAATTATACATCGTTAATATATTTAAATGTAATTTCATTACCAAGACTAAGCATATTTTCCGTTTTCTACTTTAGATAAAGCGTTTGGATGATATATCTAACAAAAAGAAATATCTTTATAAAAAAACATTCGTAAAAGTTGCCATGACCAAAAATGTTTATTTAAGGTTATTAGGTTATAGATTAAGAACAGTATGATTTTCTATTTTTAGTTTACGTGTACAGACTTTTATTCCGATTTTTTAAAAGTAATGTTGAATGGACAGACTAACCCATAATATCTTATGTAAAAAAAACATTGGTTATTCTTATAGTCTGAGATCCTTCTCAAAAGTTTATATGTTTATAGAGTAATGAAGTTATTATTTCAATTAAGCTGTTTTTAACAGTCGGTTATTAAAAGTAATGCCAATCGAAAGAAAAAGTTGTAAGAAGTTACGGTAAAAAATCTAAATGTAAAATCGACTTAGGTACATATTAATGACTGTAGTCTAATACTACATATATTAGACTTTTCTGAATAACAAGAATATTTTATAATTTACAACAACGATAACAACATAATATATTAAAAACAAATTGTTTTGATATACAATATTTTTTTTTGATGACGCAGGGAAATACCATATGACTTATATCTATTTAATTTAAACATGTTATCTAAAATCCTGTATGACTTTCTGTATAAATAAATTCCACTTTTCTATCCAGATTCTATACATTCTCATTTTGCTGTCATAATCTAAAGCACTGAAGTTGATAGAGTTTATAATCAGTTGTTTCAAAAGACGTAAGTCGGCTCTTTTACTCGCAATACCAACGAACGCTATGTAGAAGTCGTGAGATAAGGGATCGGCTCCCCACGCGCCGGGATCATCGCTGGATAACACCACTGGCATGCCGTACGCCAAATACGCTGCCAAAGGATGGTTCCTTACATCGCTTATCAAAGAAAGCACATTGTTTGATATAACGTTCACTTCGATCGCTATATTTTTTGCTCTCACTATGGCCATCAGTTTCGGATGCTTCAGCAGAGCGTAACCATGACCTATCCTTTTAGTTCCTAACAGAATAGCATCGAATAAGTTCTCATCCGTACTTGTTCCGAACCAATTAGTTTCGCCACCATGAAAATAAAAATTGAGATCTCCACCAGCGCTCTTCAAAGCAGGAAGAAAATCGAGTAGTGTTTTTCCCAAATCTTCTTGACCGACCAAATCGAAGCCAGCAAAAAAGTCAGGAAGCTCTGTCTTAATTGCTTGAGCCACATCCAAGACTTTCTGAATTTCTGTTATATCATTATAACGGCGTTTCGTGACAATCAACTTCACTCCTACGAAGTCTGGGTGCTCCTGCTTGAATTTCTTAGTCACTGTGTCGTACAAACGTGGCATAAACGTCAGGTCGTGAATTGTACCATTGAGTTCGTACAAATGAGGTAACCCACTTCTAATTTCAATGTACATGATGTTGTCTTTGTAAAACTCTTTGAGACCCTCATAAAAGACCTTCTCCCTGACAGGCCTGTATGTTATTAGATCAGATATCGTTCGGCAAATTTTATTAAATCTCTCCCAAGTATAATTTATGTCCTTTTTTAGATACTTCTTACTTTTAGAAAATAATGTAAAATGTCTTTTAAGTTTCTCATCGAAAGCATGTACATTCTTTGTGTGTTTTCTCAATTTGCTGAGTAATTTCCATTTTGATGGACAAGGTCGAGGGGGAACTGTCTCAGAGAAGCGTAGTTTCAATCCGTCCTTTGCAAAACAGGCGTATAAATGTTCTTCGTAAGTGAGTTCTAGTAGGCGATCGGCACTTAGCATTAGAGAGCTGTGGACATGTAGCGCCGCTCCTTTCGGCATCATCCTTATTATTTGATACACTTTAGATCTCGGTATGTCATTATGATAAGCGAAGTAGTGCCGCGAAAAATTAAAGTACTCTGGATTATGAAAAGAATCATCAACTTCTTGCCGTTTGTATCTCATTAGTATTTGGTTTGCTAATATTTCGTCACCATACAATTTAAGTTTCCCGCCAAGCTGCAGTTGGATTTCGTCTTCTATAATTTTGTCTCGCTCTTCAATATAATCATGTACGCTCATAGTTGCACTAGTGTGCACGCACACAAAAAACATAACGGCCACAAGGTATTCCATGTCCACTATCAATAGGGTCACCGAATGTCATACTACTGACAACGTCTCGTACAACTGAGCCGTAGCTGGGGCGATAGCCGTTTATATACATCCGTGTAATTTCTAAAAGCCACATAATGAATTAAATAATAAAAAATATAGATTATAAATAAATATAATATAACTATCATGATCGTATAATAGTCGCGTAAAGACTGAAACGCATTTAGTTATACGGAGGTTACGAATTATGAGCTAATATGTACATGCTTTGAATTTGATTCGTTATACATGGACTGATATATGTGCGTCAGGTTTTTGATTAAATGTTGAAGGAGAATTTATAGGTGGCATTCATTATGACGTCTGATAGATTGAAACAGATAGTTTATTACTGACGTATTATTACATGTGTTTGTTTTAGAATATTTGAATCTGAATGTAAAAAAACTTTGTATGAAATACAAATGTTTTTTACTATAATGGAAATAATAAAACCATTGTTATACAGTGATATTACACCGTCCGGTTGATAGTTTGTTACGTAAAAATACGACTTCAATTACATTGACATTGCGGTGACCATTAGAAATCCAATATTGCAATCATTGTCAAAATTTTACTTCGTGTTCCCTTATCTAATTTTAGACGTTACGATACTTGTATGTACACACAATACAGAGAAGTTTCTGAATGTTTGACCTTGTTAGTGCCATCTAGTGGAGAGTTTTTAAATTACGATACGCAGCGATAACCAAGCGTAGACGCAATTTGTAAGATTGGCATACTTTACGCTGTGTGGCACTAGCTGCTCTAGACTATGTGAAAAAATTACTAATATGACGTCATTCTATCTAAAACCATGGTATTTCTTTTTCTATATCGGTAATTATAGAATTTAATTGGTATATATAATTACACAATAATTGATTTATTGAGGAGAGTTTGTATAAATTCTTCGGCGAAAATAAATTCATAACAATAGTAATTTATTAAATTTAGAAGCTCTTATAACAATGACTATTGTATTGAATTTAGGTATCCATAAATTCTTACTATAGTCTATAGGTACTTAATATATTAAAGTTATGTAAATAATAACAGTTCTAACTGAAATAATCTAAACGGTTGTAAACAAGCGTGCGAAATGTTAAAATAATCTTGAATAATAAAACATACATATAAATTTTTAATATAAGTATAATACATTTTAATCAATTTTAATCTATTTCGAAGAAATGTTTAAAAATTATGAAGTTAAATCGTTGTTCATTATAAGAATCCAGTTCATAGTAATCCATGAATCCAATTCATAACTTTCATAGTAATAACATTCTTCTTTAAAATATTGTTCATGAATCCACAGTTCATGTTTATGTTCATATTAAACGCTTAATTGAAAGTGACAAGTTCAATAGGTTACAGTTAAGGATTACACACATGTTAGTCCGCTACAATTTGATATTGAAAATTATTTTATCTCTTCTGATGAAAATATATACAATAATTATTGCATTGCATTAAAATTATTCTTCCTATAAAACTTACATTTGACAACACTATTTAGTGTTTGTAGTTTTAAAATTTAGTATGAAGTTTTAGTACCGCCGCTCGATCATAGATGTCGCTACATTTACATTTCTCTATCAGTAATGCCATCTGCCAACGAATAGTATATAATTCTAATAAAGTTATAACGAAATTAAAAAACTTTTTTGGCCCAAATTGTGAGGGGGTGATGTCTGTCAGACGAATATTCTTAAGTAATGTACAATAGTTGAAGTGATACGTTGAGGATAAGTAAGTCAGGCATAGGTATATAAATTTAATTTCCTAATTCTAATAATCTCAGAGCCGTCGGCAAAATAATCAGTGACAAAATAGGTACTGCCTATTCATTATAACCTTGCTTATATATATCTTTTAGTATTTTTTTTATAAATTCTCGTCTTACGTTAACAATTAAAAGTTTTTCACTGTAATATTAATAAGAAAATAGACTGTAAGGCTTTTGTAACACTTGCAATATTATGAAATGGTTTTCTTCATTGTTTGAGTAACATCGTACAAACTTTTACTGATTTAAGCAAAATATATATTGAAAAAAGATTAAAAAAAGTTCTATTATGTTTTTCACTGTATTTCAGGGAATATTTTTTAATTGATTTAATTTTAAATTCTTTTGTTTAAATACACGTTATGTAAATGTTACGAAAAAGCTTTTATGGAGATAAAAAAAACATGTTTTCGGACAAAGTTACGACGCTTCAAGTAAACGGTGATTTAAAAGTCGAAGCTCGTCTTTCAGTCACGACTCACTTCAATGTCTCACGGCCTCTGCCATATTTAATTTATCCTTCCTTTTGTCAATTACTTCTTATGTTATTCGTTATTGTTTATAGCTATCATATTAGTTTTTGTTTCGGCCATCTTGTTTTATTTGTATCGACAATACTGTGATGGCGCGAAAACTGTTAGAGTGGGTCCATATTGTAATATATTGTGTTATTACAAAACAAAAGTCAGATTAAATCTGACAAGAAAAGTCGCAAGAAAAATCTCACGTATAGTTATGAATGACCCCGGGGCAGATCGTGACTATGGCATTCCATTAGGCAGAGGTGCCTTATTTTTATGATCCCATGCTGGGGGAACATCGGCCTTATAACGAGGTCCCCGTCGATTGAAGTACAGTAGGTACAGCGAGAGCGAGACACTACGTGACCGTTCCTCATTTATCTAAAGTAATTTAGATCTGTAACGCATTCTCTAATCTCGTATAGATATTCACACAGAATTGTGACACGAAAATGTACAAATAAGAGCATACAAGATTAATATACCGCATACAGAAATAAATTGTTATAATAAAGATTTAGGAATGATGAGAGACTCTTCTTATAAAATTTTTGCTCCCAAATATTGAAAAATAAACTAAAGTAGTACAAAAGAGTTGCTAACATAAAACTGCGATAGATATTGAGTGGTCATATTTTGCTTTTTAAAGTGCTGAAGGGAATGCGTTTGACCAGTGGTCGAGGGTCGAAGACTACCGTAGCAATAAATTAACAGTCTAAAGTACCTAATGGACAGCTTCAAATCACCTTCGAATATTGCCACATGTCACTCCGGTCCCCCAATCATTTGGTCAATTTGACGATACGGGCCCCTGTTTTGAAAATATTTGGACCGGACCAAGCAATTCCATAAGTGGGTTGTCCCCAAAATATTTTCAATTGAATAATGCATCCTGTCACGGTCGTTATGTTTAATGCCGTGTTCGTTTTATATCAAATTTATATTGTTACAGCCATTAATGTGTAGGTTGCTGTGTTTTTTTTTAGTTATACAGATTAAAAAGTTTGTAACGACTAGTCTGTGAAAATTTGAACGTCCAAATTAAATAGATTTTATTCGGGCATTTGTTTTCCGTTCATTTGACTTTAATCTTTTCGACGTCCGGTTCAAAAGGCCGCGGGTATTAGCGTTTATTAAAAAAAACCTATTAGTTTTATATTTAGTGGAAAATATCGCTGGCAAAGCTGCTGGAAATTCGATATTAGTTACGAATTGGGTGGGAATAAAAGGGTTAACATTTAACATTTAACTTTTGCAGATTACGTATCCATTTGTATGTGAAAATGAAAAACTATTTCGTGTTATAATTTATTTTTTTATTAATATGAATGAAGAAAAAATATGTGTGAGGGATGGGATGATGTAATAAATTATATTGAGAGAGAATTTTCGTAACTTTTATGATTTATTATTATTGAATTAAGTAGAAGCATTATTGTAGGATACCGAACATTAGTTTTTCATATGATGGACAGTCTTAAATTGGCTTAACGGAACTTATAAGTGTAAATTATTTTCAATCACAAAATACTTATACCTATACTTTTACAATATTTACAAAGAAATATCATCGAATAAGTATAATGGATATTATTATTACAATCTGTGACTTACAGAATTTTGTCAAATCAGTGAATATAGAATCTAGATATATTTATAATTAACGTGTTTATTAAATGTTTGCTTTTAACAATCTGAAAAGAAACAATTTAAAATTACTTAAATTCTGCTATATTTTAAATACATACTACAGGATTTAATAAGAAATGTCCTAAGTAGCAATCAAATAAATACGTCTATTTCAATTAATTTACATACAGAATAAGTTTTATAGCAATATAAAATTTGGCCATTAACAAATACATAAGTTCACAAAACCATAAAAGACCATTAATTTTAATATTTTATCTGTCTATTAAGTTTTCACTAAGTGGTCATAGCCAGCTACCATTTCGAGAATCTAGCTATATATTTTTTACAGCCAGATAATTATTAATTATTTTTATAACATGTAAAATACGTTATGAAAAAGCTGTTTATCGGCTACCGCTTAAGCATTATCATTTACCGAATACTTAATTACGTCAATAGCAATCTTTAAATAGGCCATTCACTGTCGGTCTCATTAGGAACGGATGCGGTTGCACAATACTTTCAGTGGCGGCTTTAAATCTGTCTGGTGTCACGTCGGCATCAAAGGCAGCCGCTTCCATTGTGTTACCTCCCTTAAAAGGGGGGATACGTTCTAAAGAGGAATTGTGACAATTGAGACGTTCCGATTTTTTTTTTCTGTACGCTCATTGAACGATCTCGAAATCCGTGATTCGATTATAACGATTCGCGTCTATTTAGTGAAAATTTGAATCGATTATCCTGAGCTTTATCGACTTTAAGACGTTTGTAATATCGATTAGTTCTCGATGTTTCTTACGAGTGAAATTGAATGTGAGCTTGTCTATTAGCTGCTATACAAATCAGTTGTGATAGTTAGCCAGTAAACGTGGCATTAGTGGCCAAGACGCGCACTTCGTTACCGCCATCTGGTGTTAATGTTACACCGCAAAAGAGAAACCGCAGTGACGTTCCACTAATTATTCCTCATTACCCAC